AGAACACAATGGGAAGATTACAACAAAACCCAAGCCTCAAGATTCGGATCACTCTACAACAGATTCAAACCAGAGAAGACTGACACCATAAGAAACATCAACAACAACAGAACAACAAGAAACACAAGAGTAGCAACATACGCAAAAGCAGCTGCCCAAATATCAAGATCCAAACAAAGAGAACCAACCTCTCTCTCAGAAATCGCCAATATTCTCAAAGACATCCAACACGAACTAAACACAATCAGAAACCAAATCTCAAACCTAGATGAATGTATAACCAACCTGGAATACTACAATGAAGAATATTACGAAACCATGGACAGTGACCAATTACCAAACAAACAAGACACAACAGTACTACCAGGAGCAGAAAACACTCACCCAGTATCAGACAACAACTTAAATGATCTCAGAAATACACAAACACAACTCTTTTCCTTAATCGACGGCATGCAAAACAAAATGAACCAAATCTTCTCTACAATGGATACACTGGTACAGACAACAACCCAATACACCACCACAAACAACAAAAATGGGGAGCTCAATCAGCAACAATAACAATACAAACAATCAAGACCAACAATTTGAGACAGACAACAACAGTAAAACAACTACCAACGAAAACAATACCACACCTCTCTCCCAACAAATTGACACAATCCTCACATGGTCTGACACAGACTCCAGTCCAAGCACAGATGAACAAAACACTAACACCAATCACCCACCAATATCCACAAAAACACAAGACAATGAAACCACAACAATAGAAACAACACAATCATCCGAAGAACCAATGACACCACACACACAGATAGAGGAAAACTCACAACAAGCATCTCAAATCCAAGAATGGAACATAACAACAACTAATATTAGAGGCATCAAATCAGACCATAGCAAACTACTACTATGGTCAGATTGGATCGAAAAATCAAACAAAGATATAATAGTACTGACAGAGACAAATATCTCCAAACAACAAGGACAACACATCAAATTCACAAACTACCAGGCTACATGGAGTGAAACAAGCAACCAACAAAAAGGTTTCGGGATAGCATTGCTAATTAAACACAACATAGCAAAACACATATTCAAAACACACACTTGGGAAGACAGACTAATCTGGATAGACCTTATCTTCAAATACAAAAGAAAAATCAGAATCATTGCAACCTACATACCTGCAAGCTCCCACCAAAAATACGACACATGCACAAAAAAAATAATAGAAGTTCTCTCAGAAGCAAGATCGAAGCAAGCATATACAATCATTCTAGGAGATTTCAACATGGTCATCTACCCCAATATCGACATGCCCAACTCTAACTTTTCCAAAAACAAACAACACACCCCAACAGGCCGAATCACCCAATGGCTAACCACAAACCAATACGTAAATACATTCAGAGATGCCCATTCACTGAGTACACAATTTACATGGAACAACAGCAACAACATACAAAGTCGAATTGACCAAATATGGATCTCGCCATCAATATTATGGCTTATCATACATGCCTATATAGAGGAAATAGACACAACAGTATATGAAACAGACCACAAAATCATGAACACCACAATACAACTATGGAATACAAACAAATCCAACAACCAATGCTCCAAAAACCAAACGAACAACAGATTCAGATGGGGAGATACAACTGCAGAAAAATGGAAAGACTTTGACAAGGAAATTCTGGAAACCCTCCAACAAATATGGCCAATACAAGGAAAAAACAAACACGATATCAATAAAAAATGGTACATATTTAGAGACACACTCTTGAAAGCAGCAGCCAATCACGTAAGCAAATTCAAAGAAAAGAAGAGAAAACCCAAACCATCCAAACCATCAACATATGTGGTCAAAAAAATATCCAAACTCAAAAACCTCGCTAACAAATGGGAAAGACAAGACATCACATCAGAAACTTTTCTCGCCAAAACAAAAAAAATACCCAATCAACTCTCAAACAAATAAAACCTTACAATCATCCTGCCAATTGAAATACAAGACAAGGAGAAAATCCAAAATTGGAAACTCACACTCAACAAGCACCTTACGAATTACAAACAAATTCTCAGATCAATCTGCTACAACCAACACTTAGAAACTATCAGAGAACGAATATAAAACAGAAACAGTTACTTCAGTATAAACAAGAAACAGATGATTCGGAATTTATTAGATGATCCCAGGAGAACTATTCATTTGGATAAAATTATCACACACAAGCCAGATGAGCAAGTCATTAATGACCCTGACACAAT